AACGTACTCTCTCTCTCTCTCTCTCTCTCTCTCTCTCTCTCTCTCTCTCTCCCCCCCGTCCACTCCACATCAATCTCTCTCTCTCTAACTTCCCATGATTATCTCTCCCTAAATCATGTAAACCCCCCTTTCCCATACTTTCTTATTTTCTCTCCCCTAGATCCTCTTTTCAAAGAAATATCTCTACCCTTCACATGATCAACCCTCACTAATCATTCTCTTTCTAATTAGCTAAAATCCCACCAAAATAGGATCATGAAATCCTATAAACTAGGAAATCCATCCACACTCATCCTAAATATATATATAATAATAAAAAAAAAAAAAGCTTTTCAAGATCCCTCAAATTAATCCCAACAATTATAAAAACATAAACAAGACTACCACCCCCTATAAAACTAAAATAAAATAAATATTTTTTTGAAAAACAACTAAAATAAAATAAATTAAAATAAAATTCTAATTAGTCCTATTCTTAAACATCCCAGATGCGATTTGCATCATACTCCCTGGGTTGGAAAAGAAACTCGTCTTGAGTTTTCGTTGTGGCATCATCGTCGTCCTCCCTTCGCTTATAGGATTATTCTTTGTAAGGCATTAGGTTGAATAACCTACATACATTATCCACTTGGCATACACGGTGGACAATGGGCTGCCATTTGATAAATTACATTTGAATGCCCCTGCCAAGGTAGAACCTGAGCGCCCCTTTAAAATGGCCAATTTTCTCCATAGTTGAAACGGCATTTGTTTTTATGGCCAAACTTTGGTGGCCTGCACTCACAAATCCCATAGAAGTTTTCTCCATCACCTCACAATAATAACACAGGGTATGCACAAGACTCATCAAAGTCTTGCTGAGGCCGAGCCTGGGGCCGAATGTATCAATTTGCTGCATGAGATCATTGAGGATAGTCTGCTGGCTGCATACATCAGGTGCATCCCATCGGCTCGCTAACATTGTTGAACCAATAAAAACAAACTTTACAAGTCTTGGTACTAGAACACATTGATCAAATAATGTGAATATGTGGAGTGGTTGAAGAAGGGCAGAAAGGGCCGGTTCATCAACTAGAGTTTCTCCAACCTTGTATTTTCTCATGGTTTTGTGACTGAAGTTTGGTTTAGATGTTGTGATTCTTCCATCAAGCTCTGAAGAACTAATTAACACTTGATGGTGCCACTTGAAAACAAGCCATCTTGATGCAAATATTGTATTGCCACAAACGATCACCATTTTCTACAAGGCTTTGTACGTCTACCCAATTAGTTCCTGCCCCTTTCACATTAATAAGAGGGATGCATAGTCCTCCGATATTGTCATTTAAAGTTGTATAATTGCAACAACTCTATAGTCAGCCCCAGCTGAAATCTCAAATTGTCTTCCAACTTCTTGGAAGCTGGAGTTAGAGAGAAGAACACGAAGACTAGTAGAGTCCCCATATTTCAAATGCAAAATATACATGGAAACCAAGCACT